TGCATGCACTGTGCATGGCATGATTCTTAGTTTGGAAAAGCTTTGGTTGGAATTGAAAACTGCGAGTTTCTCATATTTCCTTCCTGCAAAGGTATACACACAAAAACACAGTAATGTTGTAGGAATGTCGTTACTAATTGTAAGAACTACAAATCCTTGAAACGCAGGTCCAGACATGTGTGTTTAATATTTGTGAAGCTTTTATACGTCCTCCCTCGACGTGTTCAAATGCAAATGTAGTGTGACATGATTTCTCAATTTCCTATTCTGATAGTGAACTTGTTTTTGAGTAACTTTGCATTTACGGCACCTTCACTTTGTGCAACAAACATGTGTATGAGCAGGCATGAACAAGGGGGAAGAACTCCTCACCCTCAAGAATGGATCTGTGTTCTTTTAGGCTGATATCAAATTAAAAAAATATGTCAAATGTTTTACAAGATGATTTGCATTTCTGATGACTGGCTCAATTCCCACTCTAATCAGGGGAAGACATTTGTCATTTTCATTATGAGGGAATAATTCTTCTTAAACCTCTGTGTCCCTTTTTGTCTTTCGTTTTGATGTCTTTGGTTTTGATACTAGATTAAATGCTGCGAGAGAGAAAAAAAAAAGAGACACTTTCATTTATTCTTCACTTTGCCCTCATTACTGCCCCCACACTGGTCAAACACACACCAACGCTCAAATGTCACCTGCAGGTTGTACTTGCCAAAACGTCTGACGAGATAAGAAATGATGAAAGGCTCCATGCTCAAACAAAAGAAAGTTCCCTTGGCGGTAGGGGAGCTTTTTTGGGTTCTGAGAGGAGGAAGGTGATGAAACACTTGAGTCGAAGGAATGTCAGTGAAGCTGTGGCCAGCAGAGAAACGCATAGATCATAACACGTACATCAGCTCACATGGCTAATTAGCATTACTAGCCTGGCTTCTGTCTAACCTGTTAACCAGCTCTGACAAGTCTGTCAATGTCGGAATTATCTGTCTTTGGTAAAATATGCTGTGATGATGCAATGAAACAGCAGCCACTCACAGAGTGACAGAAACCCTCTGTGGTGAACATACGGACACGGCAGGACCTCACACTCCGAGCAGAAGCACAGTACTGGACACACAACAGTGGGAACAATAGACACACACAGTCACTGTACATAAGAATGAATCCACTCTGTCACTACAGCATATTAAACATCAATGCAGTGCAGCTCTCCATAGGCTGCAGGTATAGATAAGAGTCCAGCAATGCATTTAAGCCAAATACTAATAGTGTGGTTGTTCTAAGACGGATGAGCCTGCATGAAATGACTCCTGGCATTATGGAGCGTGAACAGAGGTGCTGATGCTGAAGTCTTGTATACAGTATCACCGCAGTGTGTGATGCAGCGCACTGCAATTTAACTGTCGATTAGGCTGTGATCGCACACAAGATGCATGCACCTTATTACCCTCGCCGAGTAGGTTATGTTTTCACTCCCATTTGTTGGTTTGTTTGTCTGTAAGTGAGCACGATATCTCAACCTGTTTACACATTGAATTTAATCTGGATAGGGGTTAAACCATGGCTCAGTGCAGCTCTGCAGCCGCAGTTTATGAAGGGCTGTTAACACCGCAAGAAGAGTCTTTGATTATTTTCCACAAACTACTGCTTTTACTTGAATTTATCAAATCTGGCAGGTGTGTGCAATAATTGCCCACGTGTGTTTTTAGCAGCAGATCCTGTTCCCGATGCAGATTAAAAAATGTCTGACCTTTTTAATAACCGATTTGGAGGACTGTGCAGCCTTTTTTGGAGGTGTGTGCTGTCTGAGTGCTTTCTATACAGCCTTTGAGGCACTGCCCAGGGCATGTGTCTAAAGTTAAGACTCATAGCATCAATATTTTAAGGTGGCCCTTGAAGTGAGCACTATCTTAGCACAGCTCTTGGACAAGATGATAAAACTCTGTATGCCTTGTACTCTTTAACGATGGATGTCGTGAACCCAAATCTGTTGTTAATTGGGAAAGGCTTCTGTTGTCTGTTTTTTTTTTTTTTTTTAATACTCTTTGTTGAGTAAGCTGATGATGCTAATAGGTTCATAGCAACAAATCATATGCCAGGCCTTGCAGCCACTGAGCCCCTGCTGAGCATTTTAAAGTATTTATAGATGGAATCCCTAGAGTGGCAGTTTTAATCCAAGTGTTGTGATACAATCAAATATTGAGCTAGTAATAAAACGCATCAATTTATTATGTCCACTAAAAGCAGACCGAGGATGAAGAGATGAGTTGGGCAAAGCTAAAAACATTGTTGTCCATTTAAAAGCTGAATGATCTTAAGTTTCCAAAACTGGTTTACTACAAGTTGGATTACTGACATTGATATTCAGAGTTTAAGACCATTTTTGGATCTGATATTTAAATACGATATTTTTCCATAATCCATTCATTATTCTTCAGAGCTGAGATGGACTGCCAGCGCCATAAAGAACCATGCAAATACTATTCCACATATCCCAACTCGCATGCAGTTTATTACTTCCACCACTTCCCAAAGCACACCATTACTGTAGTTTCAACTGGTACCATTTATTCCATCACAGCTTTGAAACCATCTCCCATAGATTTAAATGACCTTTAGATGGAGGAAGAAGGTCATCAGGGGCACTGAATATTAAGTGCACAGTTCACTTATTTGTTCCTTTTAATTCTTTGCCAGGTTGGGCCAGCCTGTTCTCATTTATATATACTGTATATAAATATATAGTGAACAGTGTGTTTATATTGTATATTTTGTATACTGTGTAATAACTACTGGATTTATTTGCTGCTTCTCTATCTTTCAAATTTTACAAAGCTGACTCGATTATGCATACAAATTCCAATGTAGCTGTACTGCTTTGTACCAGAGTGGCAATAAACATCTGTTCTATTCTATTCTCATCTATCACAAATCATGAAATATTAGTGCTTTGTCACGTCCCTTTGCATGTTGTCTGATTCACATTATTCCATTTAGTACAAGACTATCTTCATGTAAAAGTCGAGAAAACGTTTCTTGGTGTGCTCAAGGTCTATACCACCTTTTCATACAAACTTGCATTCCAATGCTTTTCTTAATGCTTTCCTTACTGCAAGGCGTATTAATGCAATTCTTAGTGGAGGCTGGATTTACATATCCCAGAAAATAGTGTATCTCTGAATGCACCATCAAAAGGTTTTCCATACACCCATGAGTTATCGTTTGAACAATAATGAAATTGACCGAAAAGGATGGCTGCCTAGATAGTAAAAAAATAATAATCATCTGTCATGATATGGTGTGCTTTTGAATTAACAGTTACACAACATCTACACAGTTTGTAGTTAATGGCCCATAAAACATGCAAAATCATGCATGCTTATTTAACCCTAAGCAAGAGCCACTCCACAGGGGGGAAGCTTGAAAGGGCAGGCTCAAACTGGATGTGGCTGAATGTGTCATCAGGTCACAGCTGGGTATACACCACTTGATGGCATCTCGAGTTGGACGGCTCATTGAGATGAAACGGATGTGAGCGATGGAAAGTGGCTGAAGGGGAAGACAGCAGGACTACCAGAAGCTCCATACATTAGGGCAAAAGATGAAAATAAAATGTAACTTTAAAGAGAAATACAAGCTGCCAAGAATGTCTTTTAGACTGAGCTCCTGCTACGTGGCTTGTTCTATGTTTCTGACACTTAATGACGAAGAGGTGACATCTCTGACACAATGTGACGAAACAAGACTTGTCCGAGGTGATTAGGATGCCATGATGGCGTGTGGAAATACCAGTATGTTCAGAAGAGACTCACTTTAGGCTTTTCTTTTATTGATTTGATGGTATGGTATGGGTCTTAAGGTCCTTGATGACAGAACAGAAATACTTGGGATTCACTCTAAATCATTCAAATCAGCAGCTTCCTAGACGTTCTCTACTCACAGTGAACTGGATCAGCCTCTCCCTGGTGGCATGTGGGACAAAATGTTGGTAAATTGGTGTCAGCAGGGATTTTTGCTTTGATTAGGAAGCTCCTGACATGAACCCCCTTTGACAGCACCCCTCCCCCTTCCTCCTCCTCCTCCTCCTCCTCCTCTTTCTCCCTGCTGTAGGTGTTATGTATCTGCGCACTGGTCGCCTACAGGGCGGTGGCTGCGCATGCATGTCCAAGAGCGGGACAGTCTGTGGGGAGTTGAGGGGAGTTGTCATGAGGAGACGCTGATCTCCGGCTGCAGAGAGCCGTCACACACACCCGCCTCTGATCCCTGCAACCCAACTTTAAATGAGCGACTACATGGCTCAGTAATGCATACCGACACACACACACACACACACACACACACACACACTCACATACGCACTATTGTGCCTACACATACAGTGCGCAAACTGGCCGTGCAGTGAGATAAAAGCTCAACTCAGATACAGACATCGCTACATCGAAGACTTATTTGTCAACCCTGATAATTGACTGATTTTAAACCAAGTATGTAATCACTTCAAAGACAGTACGAGTTTAAAAAAAAAAATAAATCTACTCAATGACACCGGTCTCACAGCAAAACAGTACGCACGCTCAGCTGCTGTCACCTCGCGTGCATCCCTGTGTCAGCCCGAGGAGACTGAACCGGATGCTGAGACTAACAGGAGGTGACTGCAGGCGACTTGTCTGCAGCCTGATCTTTTTTTTATCGGTCACTTGATACCAAAGGAAGGGCAATATCCAAGTTGTCGCCGATACGCAAACTTGTGCAGCCGCATTGTGCTTCTCATTGCGCCGCACATTTTAACTTCCAGCATTCCAGCACATCGGCTGTGACAGCAGACAAGCGGGCGAGCTCCAGACTCAACTGCTGCGTAAACATCATTTAACAGGGGAAACCAGCTCTGTTTGTTCTGAACATTTAAACTCACACGTGTGACATGGCCACATATGATCTTTACACTAAACGCATGCATCACCTCCCCGCACACCACGCCCGTCTACAGCCCACATCCAGCTCACCTTTAAAGACGTTCGCACAGAGGCTGTACAGGATGAAGATCAAGTGCTGCTTGAAAATCATATTCTTCTCTTTTTCCTGAACGGGTACACGTCGACACTCCACGCGAGTCTGTCTCTTGTCTCTTCCTCTCTCCTCTCGTTGGATGGACTTATCCAGGTAAACGGCGCAGCTTCGGACTGAGCGGAGTTACATTGATGAACTCTGCTGTTTCCAGAGCAGTCCCTGTGTGTTCTCACAGATCTGGGGGCAGTGATCACTATACAGTGTAGCAGGACGGCAGAGACGCTCGTCGCTTAAAGTGCAGCTCCTGTCTCCCTTTATTGCCTTTCTCTTTGACTCGCTGCAGAGAGCAGGAGTCCCGCCCACGCCTTTTGACTAATGAAGACGCTTCACCAATGGAGAACACCTCCAAATAGTTCTGATCTCCGGTAAACTGTCAAAACAATTACACCATGTGACGGAGGGGTTACTTTCTTACGTCAGAAATCCTGAGATCAGTTTCACAAGCTCCATTTAGGAAATGTCAGAGAACAATAGAGCCTCTGCAGGATGTGCTGAAAGTTAAGGCCCTGCATAATAATATCATAAATGATAACAGGGTCATAAGGGGCCAGCAAAAGCTTCTAAAAGGCTCTTAAATGAAGTCATGGTATTACTGCTCCATGTTTGTGACAGTGTGAGTCCTAGCTGTCTAAACCTGCATGCTCTGTGTATTAAAATGTGCCCACAAGTAGCAGAGTTAAATTCACAATTCTGAACAGTCCCAACAGCGACATGAGCAGACACAAGCCGGCTGTCAACACAAATCAAAAATAAGTGCCACAGTAAAAACCGACACTAACAAACACATAGGGAAATTTAGAGATATAAATAAATAAAAGAGAAATAAAATTCAAACAATTAAATCCAATAATCAAATAAATGAATCTACCGATGTTTATTGCAGAAAGACCGTTTCTTTCTCCAGGGTTGTGACCTGGTGTCTGTGTATGTGTCAGGAATCAGTGCACAGGCGCAGAGGAGGTTAATGGGCTCCTGGACATCCCTCTTCCTTCAAAGGCTCCAGTGAGTGGTGCACAGAAATGAGTGTGACCGTCCCTAAAGACAGAGGTGTGGGTAGAGCGGCGGCTCCAGCCGGGGATCGTTTTCTAAACCCATCGGCAGGATTTTACACATGGTTTAACATGCTGCAGCTCGAATTTGGTTCAATTTTGCACAGTGGCCTTCCACGCCACTCCCACTTTGAATCAAATTGCTGACCTGGCCACAGCACCTGAGAAAAAAAAAAAAAAGTGGTGCTTCAAATATACATCTGAGCTTTTCTCTCAAAAGGAATACATGTAAATGGCAAGTGAAGCGCCACTGTTCATTATCCAAACAAGCAATCAGTTGGATCACTTATCCTCAACCAACCAACCAAACAAGAAATGAACGCAGCGTTTTCCAGCCATGATCAAATCCATTACAGCTTTGAATCAGACCAGGTTGAATAGGACCCTTTACTCACACGTGCCCTCAGTCACTCCTGTATGCTGATGCTGCATTTTAGGCTTTTAAATTGGAGCCATGCACATCTCTAATCCCTGCGGAATCATTGTTGTCTATCTGAAGTGTAAACCTTGAAGGACTGAGCGCTGCTGTGTGGCATACATTCTATACAGCTCACTTATAATTCAGAGCAGAACTATACAAAGCCAATTACCATGAAGAGGCTGGTAAAGAATCAATCCCATGTGTCCTGAAGGTCAATTCCTCGTCATTTCATTAGATCTTTGAGAGCACGATTCTACTCGTGCTCCTTTTATACAGTGACAACTTATTGCCCATGTGTGTTCAGCTCAGGGTGTTGACACAAAGGTGTGATGCAGAGGAGCATGATGCCTTCTGCAACATTATACTGAGTACTTTTGATCTTTTTGTATTATTTACAAAGCCTTTATTGTGTGCATTGTAAACTTTAACAAGCTACACTTGAGAGTCTAAACTACGGTTCGGAGTTTCCCATGAAATTATGGAAAGTTAAAATTCAAAGTTCAAGCCTATAAAATCCACATGAGAATGCAAAGACTGAAGACAAAAGTTCGGGAGAAGCAGAGGAACATGAATATGCAGTAACCTGTCACTGATAACATTAATCCTCCTGGCTGATTGAAAAACAACTCATCCACACGAGGTGCACAATCCATGTCAGGACAGGCCTGAGTGACAGCAGTCGTGAAGGCTGAATGCTTTATGGAAATGGAGCATTCTGGGTGATGAAGTGCTGCAAACAGGATCAGGACACGCGCTGTGTCAATCTTTATTTCATTTAGGAAATAAATACAGTACTGCACACAACAGAACCCAGAGAGAAGATTAAAAAAAGTTACATGACATTTTTTCTTTACCCGGATTGATTAAACACCTAATCTTTCTAAATCAAAACTAATGCACCATAACAACTACATCTGACATCACTGGTTTACTCCTTATTCATTTCTAACAATGGACATTTAGAAGTACCTTACACTATAAAATCTCACTAAAATTAAATCCAAATTCTATGTCAGTGTAAGACACTCACGCATTAGAGTTCAGGGTGCTTCTCATTACATTAATCCTAGCATTCTAGCGTCCACTCGACTGACCCAGAAACTGTTCTACCTCTGCTATGATAAAGGAGACGAGGATCGAGGAAGGTTGAGGGACTCAGAGTGAGGAAACTCAGATGTATCCTCAATGGATGTCTTTTGAGCAAAGATTCATGGTGTGGAGCGCAATAGCCAAAATGCAGAAACTCTTTTCAGATTAGCCTCACAGGCGATCTGCATTAAATATAACAGTTGAACATGCAGTCATGGTTAAATATATTGATACACATTACAACGTCATGCAGAATAATGCAATTTCAAAGTTTTAAAATTAACAACCAAAGTAATACCAATAATGATCAGCATCACATTAAATCATTTACATGTTTCAAAAAACAAAGGTTTCATGTTTTAGCCATGACGAAGAAGATCTCAAACCATCTTTATGTGAAATGAACTAACAGGTTTTAAAATCGTTTTCAAATGAGTGGTTTTCTGAACATTTGTAAAGACTGACATGTGAATCAGCTGTGGAGCTGTCGTCCGGTAAGGCTGACGATGTTAAGTGAAGGGTTTCTCATTTGGTCAATTGCCTCAACTGTCCTCGTTTCAATTCCTCGCAAGGAGGAGAGGACGCAAGTGAGGGACGTGAGGAAACAACACGAGTGAGGGAGTCGTATTAGTGTACTGAGAAAGACCCACTCTGTGCTGTGGGCTGTATATGTAATAAGCTAAATATTAGCTTGTAGACAATATCTTGCTATCTGATAATATACAGATGTCTGATATGCCTCAATGTGTTTGTGGGGAGAACATAAACGCCATGCTTGTTCAAAGAGCCGATGTGTTTGTCTTCCAAAATGTTGATTCTCTAACATCCAAATTGAAGTGCTTTTTGTCAAAAAGGTTTTCTCATGTTGTTTGTTAAAACATACTCTTGCTAGTCTGATCCGACTCGTAACACTCAAAGAACAAATATCCTCCTCAACAGGCCAGTACAACTCTAAACACTGTGCATAGGATATCCTCAGCAGCACTGGATGAGGAAATCATAAAGTACCTCAGTGAGATAGATTTCTGAGTCTTTAATCAGAGAACAGAAGAGGTGAACCAATTATGCCCTGAAAGTTGGTATCAGATAGAAGCTCAGCTTTGGATGAGTTGTGCACATAATTGAAATGTTCTGTCTCAAACAAAATGTGCCCAGTTTGTTGTTAAGACCGAGAAGTATCATGAAAAAAAGCACAGAGATTAAAATGTTCACTTTAATACAAATGAGTTCCCACAACACCATTAATTCATTGTATTCAAAAGATTCAATTCAAAGTATCACTCACTGAAGCTCGATAGTCTGGTTCTTCCCTCAAAGGATTATTATTGTTGTGTTTTACACATCACAATACAAAGACTATCTCTGGGAAAGCACAACCAAACTGCTCTGGCTTTGTAGCAACCTTCTAAATACATAATGCAAATGTTGTCACTTGGATAACAACTTTGAATATTTCATCGCTCACTTTTTCAAGCACTTCTGTCTCCCTCTGTTGACAGTTGTACGTTGTTTATATGGTGAGGTTTCTCTGCATCTCTGACTCTTTTGGGGTGAACTACAGTTGCAGGACTTCACAAGCATGAACGAGTCAATAATTTACAACAACAGAGGGAAAGCAACATATGCATCATCTTCTAACGGAGAATATCCAAAAGTCATTAGAGAATATACACGTCATTAGTGGATTATCTTCAATTTGTTCACCTCATATGTTCTTAGAGGTTTAAACGAGCAGAATGCTTCAAAAGGATGTTTTTAATTAGCTATAAGCTCATTCATCACAATCATATAAGCACTAATATAACCAGCCACCCTTAAATGATGTCATTATTCTGCATCCTGCCTCAGTGTAATGATGTGCACAATGTGTTAGAATACGCTGCTGCAGACGACGCTGCCAGACGAAGATGAAGAGCAGCAGAGTAAATGCTATTTTCTATGACTGATGTGTGTACATTGCAGCCTTTCTGTATCAGTTGGATCACTGCCAATTATTATGAACTTCATATTTTATGGCCGGGTATTATGTCAAATTAGCAGAATTATTAGTTTCACCATCTGATACAGCTGTGCTTGTTAAACCAAAGGTTGTATACATAATAGAGCGATGTTCATGGATGTTCCAGCTCTACTAAAGTTTACTCTCAAACAGGATCACACTTTGTGTACTCTCCAAATAAGCCTGTTACAATTCAGTGTTTCTGACACATTACCTTTTTTTTTTTACCTGTCGGTGCTCCTCTGGGAAATAACACCTGCTCTGTAAAGCTGCATACAGCTTGAACTTTAACGTGATATGATGAGAGCTTTATGGTCTTTGTGCCTTTCCTTATTCCTGTAAGAATATTTGCTACTGATGGCTGCTGGGAATACAATTCCATCTCTTTATTGCCTTATTGATGGGACACTGGGAACCGCTACATTTGATAATGGCTTTTTTGTACCCAAGAATACGCAAGTCAGCACTCTCCCAATGTCATTATATGCAGCAAAATTAGAAGTCATCACTCAAATATTCTGTCTGGGGATATATGCAACTCACGTTATTTCAGCATGGAATATATACATATATACACAGTATGCAGGTACTGTTTCCCTCTAAAAGTTCAGCCATATGTTCATCTAATCTCATCAGCCTTAAACTACTAAGAAATGTTTCCTTACATCAGCCATATGTTGCCAACAAGCTGAAGTGTCATTCAGCTGGACAAGTGACAATCAAAGCAA